AATGGGTTTGTGAAATTGTTCACAAAGGTCAAAACAACAAAAGTTAATTAATTAATTAATTTAAAATGTTATAGGTTTTTGCAATATCCTTATTTTAAAACAAACTCTAACTTTCTCTCTCCTGTTCCATTTGGCTTCCGGGATTTTTTTACCTTCTTCTATTCTAACATGTTTACAGAAAGAAGCTCATGCATGGGACGGAGTCTCTTCTCGAGCAGGTTTCCCCAATTGGTTTAATTGTGGTTTTAAAAATAAAACTGTTGTATTTTATTATAACAATTATACTTAACAGGTATGTGATTTGTCTATTTCTAGCCCTGGTAATGATTATAGAAATTATTTAAATAATAATACTACAAAATTTAATTAAAACGATAATATTTTGCCCAAGCCAGATCCTATTCATTATTGGTATACTCCTGGATGGGCTACACCTATTTGGATAAATAATAACACCGGAGCAACTCCACAAACTCGCTCGACAACTGGTAAACAAACATTTTGGTAAGCCTTGTGATTGCAAGAGAGGTACTGTTCTTAGTCCTCCCTCACCATACATAGCCATCATTGATTGTGGTGCACGTTTAGCCTATTTGGCTCCAACTTCTCCTGCCTATAGTTGTGTAGAAAAACCCCAGTTTTCACCCACTGACAATGATGGCCCTAAGCCTTGTCCTTGTCAAACTTTTGTTAAAACATTACATAGTGCCTGTTATGGTTCATATCAATTGTGTATTTCAGATAACCAGACATATTTCACTGCTATCCTAACCAGAAATTATGAAGGAACATTTGGAGGGCATCTTGCTGGCCCTCCATCTGCAGTGGGGCTTGCTTCTAATAAATATGCCCAAGCTCCCTGTTTGGGACCCATAGAAAAGCCTGTATGCTGGTCTATTACTCCCTCTATCTATATGTCTGACGCAGGTGGACCACAAGATCAAACCAGAACCCTAAACGTGAAAGAAAAAATACAGGAAATGCATGATACCCTATTTCCTCAACTTACCTATCATCCATTAGCTTTGCCAGAAAATCGAGATGAATTAAATCTAGACCCTCAGACCTCTCATCGTCTTTATGCTACTTATAAATTGCTTAATACAAGTAATCCTGACCTTGCTCAGGACTGCTGGCTATGCTTGGTCATGGGACGACCTATACCTGTAGCTTTTCCGTATTTATCCCTTAATTACTCGACGAATGTTCGGTGTTCTTTAACTACTCATTTGCAAGTGCAGCCCTTACAGTTTTATAATGTCACTTGTTTTCTCTCTCCTTCTATTAATAATAGTTTTGAAATTGATGTAGGCTTTGCAGCTTTTGCAAATTGTCAATCAATAATCAATGTTTCTACCCATTTATGTGCTCATAATAGTTCAGTTTTTATTTGTGGCAGCAATCGAGCTTATACTCAGTTGCCCACTAACTGGACAGGATTATGTGTTTTGGCACTTCTTCTTCCTGATGTGGATGTTATACCAGGGTCTGAACCCGTGCCCATTCCCACTTTTGAACACATAGCTGGACGAGTAAAAAGAGCTATACAATTTATTCCCTTGCTCGCAGGACTGGGAATTACTGCTGCAGTGGCCACTGGGACTGCTGGTCTTACACACTCCATATCTCAGTATACTAAATTACCTAAACAACTAATCTCAGATGTACAGACCCTCTCTCAGACCATTCAGGATTTGCAAGATCAACTGGACTCTTTAGCAGAAGTAGTGTTACAAAATCGAAGAGGTCTTGATTTATTAGCTGCAGAACAGGGAGGTATCTGTTTGGCTTTGCAGGAGTAATGCTGCTTCTATGCGAACAAGTCTGGAATAGTGCGTGATCGCATTAAACAACTGCAAGAAGATTTGAAAAAAAAAAAGAAAACAGTTGGCTGACAATCCCCTTTGGACTGGGCTCAATGGATT